AGTTTTTGGGATATACTAATTCTGCATTTAAATTTTAACGCTTCGCTCTGAACTGCCTAACCATCACACCATTTACGCCTTCAATTTCCCCTATTTTTGTCCCATGTCTTTGGAAACATTTATTAGTAATGCCACTACGGGAGGTGTTTCGACTATTTGTTCATCATGTAGTGCCTTTGTGGCACAACAGAAGGGAATGTCGTCTCTGATGATGGTAAAAACACCCTCAAATTTTCATCACAGCTGATAACAGCGAAGATGGGGAAGCTTGAAAAAAACCTTTAATTGCACCATCAGTTTCTGATGCGTTGTGAGTAAAAATGAGGGAGGTTGGCGATGCATCGCCTGGATGCTCCGATGCCAAATGCAATGAATGGATACACAAACACATCTTAGGGTGACTTGTCTTGGTTTTGTCCTCCTCTCTTCATCTGTCTCATTGTATCACCTAATTAATCAACTGATAAAGTTGGTCTTTGTGAGCGAGCAGATAACGGAACTGTGCGCATATTTTCATAAATTTCAGGTTTCGTAGTTTATGCACCGTTTTTCTTCGCGACTCCATGGGATTCCTTCTAGTCTTCGATCTGACCAATGAGAAGAGCCTCCTTAGCTGCCGCGAGTGGATGAATCTACTCTGTCAGCATGCCTATTGCGAACGGCCTGATGTAATTCTGGTAGGAAATAAGGCGGATAAGACGGAAGAACGTGTTATATCTACCTCCGATGCGCAGAGATTGGCTCAAGAGCTGCAGTAAGTTCACTTGGGCTTCTAAAATAGAGGACGTGAATGGTGTGTAGCGATTAGCAGCCAAACCTGGGCCAGTATCCCTTTTTAAGCGCTCATGTACACTGCCAGCCCACTTTGCTAAGAGTGAATTTGTGTAGGTCACAATGTCCCATACCTCAAGCTGTCTACATCCAGATCCGTCCTTTTATTTGGCGGTAGGACTCCATGCCATTACTAGGAGCAGAACAAATTGCTCTCCTTCAAGCTGTGACTTTCGTCAGCGCATATTTTATTCTTGTTGACCCACACATCCCATCTCCCATTTCAGGCTGAGGAAGGAGATAAAGTTGATTTGAGCTTACCAAATCGCACATCGGCGCCCGTCTATCTACTGTCCTTTCACATCCACACACTTCCCCACATCACGGTGATCAGTGTCGGTAGGATGTATTGAGACTCCTCCTGTTTATGGCAACGGAACAAGAGGAAAGAAAATGTGTGCTATTAAAATCGCATCACAACAGCAGGTTTTATAACTCCCACCCACATCGACGGCATCTTGCAGTTTGTTTAAACTTTAATGGAATTTACCAAGCCAAAATGGTGGAATTTGCTGGGAGTTTTGATATCGGTCTACAGAACATGCACTTTGAATAATTTATTCTCTACATCGCGTTCCTGCTTAATTGTGCTCTTAACATCTGTCCCTCTTCGTTTGCTCTCATATTTGCATTTATGACCAGAGGGGGAACAAAAGATAATCCAATTTCATCACTTAGTAATCGAATGAGGTCACTAGGGGGGTCGCAAGACTCAACCCTAGCCCCAGGGCAATGAACTTCTGTTTACACGTGATATCCCAATTGAGTCTTCTTCTTAGATGGGAATAAATAGAGGCGGGGGGGTGGATGTGTTGATGACAGTGACGACATCAACAATGACAGCTATTAGCAGTTCCTTCTGATACATCCGCCTATCGATCACCAACTCTTCCCTGATTTGTGATTGGTCGCTCGCCCTGCCTTCTCATTGGTTCGTTGTTCCACCTAGTCATTCAGATTTTTTAACTATTCCAATATTGAGGTTCTTAATTCAACACATTAATTATCAGCGTCATTTACAGTTGGTGTCTCAGCTTTTCTGCTTAAGACCATATTTTGCTCTTCAGTTTGTACAAGTTAGATAACTTATAATGACTAAGTTGTGGTGGAAAATTACAGCCACCTAGGAGACGAATTATGGGACACTGAAAGCTTCGAAAGGGGCATAAAAGGCGGAGTTATTTTATGGCTTAATGGAGACAAATAAAATGTACTGCTCTCTGTAGCCCTCTGTTGCATTATTTACACAGCAGATGCGAGCTTGCGTAGTGTGAAAACTCGTGAGTTGGCAGAGGCACTGTGAGTTCAACGCTCCAGGCAGCCAATCACAGCTGCTATACCAGCATGCCTGAGGGCTGCCTACTGCCTGGAGTTAGCCTGGTACTCTACTACACGTCATTTCTGATGACGCATGCATGAGAGAAGAGGATAGCTGATGAGGAGGGATGTCAACGCTACAGTATAACACTCGTCGGCTAATTCCCACTGAGGTATTCCCTGCGGCTCCAGTGCGAGACAGTGGCGAGTGGTTTTCTGTGAGCTGCGAGTCTCAGTGGCGAGGCTGTAATAATTCTCTCTCTCGACCTCTTTTCACTTATCAGCACTAAATTGTTTGGTATTCTTAATTTGCCAATTATAAAGTCATCTCTATCGTTCGGCCTTGCTTGGTGGTGGGAGGACACTTCTGACAGACTCACTCGTTTGTCATTGTGATTTCCCACTATATAGGCCCTATGATGAATCCTTCCATCCGCAAAGCACAATTCATTGGCTTGTGAGACCACTGCTGCTATTCACTGAAATGGACGATCCCTTCAATCACAACCGCATCGTCATTCCTAGTTGTTAGGTGGATGGACGGTCCAAAGCGTGCGTCAATTCCGCCCTCATGATGACTCCTTTGGGAGTCTGCAGTTGTTCCTTTAGCGTGGTAGATCATGCATTCAGTGTCTGACTGAAAATCTTTTTTTTTTACCTCGATAGTGAAGTGAAGAAAGAGTCAAACTGAAAAAAAACCATTCAATCAGTCCGCATGATTAGAATCTTTGAAAAAAAAGCCTTCCGCACTGTAATTCCTCCTCACTTTCAGAGTGCCCTACATCGAGACCAGTGCATTGAGCGGAAAGAATGTCTCCGCAGCGATTGACATGCTTCTAGACTTGGTAATGAAGCGGATTGAGGAGTCGGTCACCAAGACTCGAGTTCACAAGGCCACAAAGAACTCCAATGGAGGTATCCACCTTGAAAATGCAAATTCCACCAAAAACAAATCGTGCGCCTGTTAATAAGGTAATGCTC